TTTCCAGCCAAGGATAAAAGAACTGAATGTGTACATTTTACGTGAATTTGTCGGCACATTTGGGGGTGGGTGGGTGGGTTATAAATTAGCTCTTCACACTTTGAATTATGTATAGTCCCAATATTTAATGCAAAAGATTGTATGCAGAAAATTTGATTAAAGCATAAATTTTTAAAAGCTTATTCATCCATAAAACCGTATTCATCAGATTCATTAATTGATATTTTCTCTTTTGCAAGTTTATTATTACTATATATATACATTTTGTACTTCGGGTTCGTTGCCACTATGCCCTCAGTAGCGAATATAAACATTTTGTTTACTGGTAAATTTGTTAGCACAACTTACTAACAGTCTTTCGATATATAAATATATTCACAACTTATAGTGTTATTAATTGCTTTACCATTATTTCCATGCCTATTCACATCAAAAACATTTTATATCCATGTAGTGTTATTAATGCCTCGTTTTTCTTTTACATCGGGTTCGATGCCATCTGATGTTCTAAAAATTTCCATGAAGATATAGACGTATAAAACTAAGATCGGACACTGGCGAAAACGATGTGCGCATTTTGTTTTTTAATCAGTAATCATAACTTATTTCTTCTGTATAACGTTAATCAAGTTTTCACTGAATAATTCATTAATGACATTTTATCAAATAATTAAACGCTTTCTTGTTGTCAGTTTCATTTAAAATTGCAAGTAACTTAGATCCGCCAATCGTAACCTCCACCGTACTCCCTTTTTGCGATTTCACGACTGTTTATCGAAAATAAAAGAAGACTTTTAATTAAATTTACCATGACTAGTATGCGAATGAAATCTGAATATAGTGTACGGACATCATCTCATATCTAAGGGATTAAATATGAACTATGGTGCAGGCGTTTCGGAGTTTATTTACAAAATTTATTAATTTATAAGTATAGATATAAATCTTTACTTTAAAAAGTCTAACATTCCTAATGTTTTAATGAGCGGTCTTTTAAAAAAAAATCGATGTTTGACCGCAAAGTGAGATATTGGACCTGCGGACGAGATATTGGACCCCTTAAGTCACACTGTGGGCGGAATCAGCTAAATCTTATTTGCATTCATTGGTATCGAAGCCAGCAAAAGACACATATATGATAAATAAATGAATAAATAAATAAACAGATAGATAAATAAATAAAAGGTATAACAAAACATTTATTGACTGGGTTCTCGGGCAAAATGCGTTTTGTCGACCGCTCGAACCAAACTGTTTGCCTAACGGCCTCAGGCAAACAGTTTGGTTCATGTGTCGATCCGACAAAACGCACGTTGCCCTCGAACCCAGTCAAGATTGATTGATTAATTGTTTGTTGTTTAATGGCTCTCTCGAGAATTTTTCACTTATATGGAGACGCCACCACTTGCCGGTGGAGGGCTACAATTTTTTACCTATACTCGGCACTCAGGGCCATTGAGCAGTGAGGAATCTTTTTCGTGCCAGCACCTACTGCGACACAGGACCTCGGTTTATACGGTCTCATCCGAAGGACCGGTATCCACGTCCCGCAGTGGGATTCGAACCCGCGACGTAAGGATCAACTCCTTACTCCGCGACTCAAGAGCAGACGCTCTAACCACTGCGGCACGCGGGCGACAACCCAGCCAAGAAATGTATATTGCAATGTTTGATGATAATTTCTTTGAAAACAAGTCAAAATTTATTTGATGTCGTTTAAATTGTGGAAGTTCTCATGTGGATCAGACAAAATAGTAACATATCGGTGCCTCAAGAAACTGTATATTTCTCTGTGCTCATGGTTTTCATGTTTATGAGCTTGCTGTTATTTACATTTGTACAAGGAACACCCCCCTCCCCCCCCCCCCAAATCAGTATTGGATATATACCGAATACAGTTCTGTATGAAAAAATATCAGACAGTTTGAGGCGCGACCGAAAATTGTTATTTTTTTTTCATACAGAATTGTATGAGGCATAGATCTATATCGTACTTATAATATTGCTTTTTGATTAACCTGAGACAGTCCGATATTATAACAAAATACAAAACTGTCAATGACCACTGACGCAATTCTTTCGAGAATGCAGGCTTAAATGAAAAGTACTCAGTATTTAGGGAATCAGCTACACTGTTGTAGATATTTGAAGTAATTTGATAATACAGAGAGTGCATGGAGACAAAATTTTTCTTCTTTAAAATATTCACGGAGATTAAAGTGAATATGAATGATATTTTTGGAATAAAAAAAGAAAATGCAGATGTGAACTTTAATTTGAACTGAACAACTGAAGGTATATTAGGCCATTCCAAGATTTTTTTTTTTTTTGTTTTTTATGTTCAGCGCCCGCATGTTCCTTGGTTTTTGACATCCAAAGCAGAAAAATAAACATTATTAGCAATCCAAGAATTGATACTTTGATGAAAACGATGGAATTCTGTCAATTTCTTTCAATATTTGTAGAGAATCTGTCAAATTAAGTAATTGTCATATATACACGACATTTCTCTGGAGACCCCAGTGAGCATACTCTTTTTCAAAATCCAAAGACACGATCTTCTGCTTGCCAAGGGGGGGGGGGGTTAGTTTAAAAAGTTAATAACAAGTTTAGGGCCCTGTTTTTTGCTTGATCTGGTCCGTCGCATGTTTTTTCATTCCTGCTACACTATATCCGGTTTTATAAGAACTTTGATTGTTTTATTTTCCAATTCTGTATGATCAATATTCTGTTTCAAAATCATCATTGTATATGTGAAATTAAATCAATTTACTGTTTGCTAAATAATCATACATTTTATTCTTTTGTTCAGTAACAGTCCAATTTTTAAGGATATCAGTACTGAGACTGTCTGATATTACACCTAATATCAGACTGCTCACTGATATCGGACTGCCAAAGGTAAATTTTTAGACTGCAAGAACAAAGGGATGACATCACAGCAATGTTTTAATTGTGATTAGTAGAAATTAAGCTGCTATCCTAGGAATTGTTCATGTTAAGTTCTGATAATGGTAAATTATCGCCTACATTTTGTATCGTAAGAATTTGATTACATGGTGATATATATATATATTTCCAAAACTTTTCTTAAAATTTTATAATTAAACACATTTGTAAAATAAGGTCAAATTAAAAAAAAAATTGGGACAAGCATGATAATTATTTTCAAATTTTTTAATGATTGGTGTTTACCAGAATACACTTTATAGATTCCATTTATGTTAGATTCGTTGTTATGCTCATCTTTAATTGTTTTTTAATTAACTTTAAAGCTGAAGAAAGGTGCCACTCCAAGAATTACTTATAATTAAAATTATAGTTTCGTTTATATGCTTCAGAAATGTTTGCTATTGCATTTTCCATACAATTTAAAAAACGTCATGTTTGGCATCTTATACACAGTTTACTACATTTCTACATGGAATCTGTTTTGTAAACAGTATTTAGTTCTGAATTATTTTATCTGCTCTGATGTTTTCTCTAAAAGGCTTTCAAAAACCGAGAATACTGCGCAGGAGATGGAAAAGAAAAGCCATATATAGGTCATCAGATGACACCTGAAAAGGAAATGCAGAATCCTGGATACAATTAGATATAACAAGTCATGACAACAGAGGAGCACCGAACGGCAACAGCTGCCATTTCTAGTATAATGCTAGAGCTCTTATCTCCTCGGAATCTCTCATGGTCTGCACAAACACTTATTTATGTCGTTCCGAAAATTGATGATGATCAAATAAAAGTCGTAACAGAAAATATGTTTTAACCAATTTTGGAGAGAAAAGCTAATGTTGTAGAGTAATTTATACCGCCATTCATCTTGATATGACAGTGATATAAGGTTTACAAGCGAACTGCTTGTTTCTGAGAATTTTTTGGACTGGGATACCTTGGTGCATCATGAAAAGACTCATCATAGGTTTTTTGAAGTACATTTAATAACTTCTTTTTCCCGTTAAAAATCAGATGAAAATGATAGTATATTGGCATAATATTGCATTTGTCATCTCTGCAGCACCTACAGAACAAAAGTTAAGCTTTTTTTCAATAAGTTGAAGTTCTGTCATAAACATGTACAATTTAATATACCAGTATGCCTAACACGTTTATAAAGACATGTGCTTGTAGTTTTAAAAAAAAAATCCTCTACAGTTGATGAAAAATCTCTCTCTGAATCATATTGTACTTTGCTTAAACTCTCAAAGATTTGATAATAAAACGTTTTGAGAGGCATAAATTTAGAATCGTGACGATGACTATATCTCGTAACAGTGCTCTTGGTATTTCTTTTTCTACATAAAGTCATTAAACCTTTTACTTTGATTTTTTTTCTTCCTGCGCATGAAAAAAAAAATCTGAAAGAGTAGAATCCCCGGCGGAGAGAAGCCATGTAGAAAGTCGATACCATCTCTTCGTCTTTCAGAGAAATATACCCTCCAAAAACATATCAGTAAAAACCCCAAACATGTAGCAATTACTCCGATTTCTTTTGCTTCACTCAGATGAACGGATGTCAGTCATTTTGTAACAATTGTCGAAATGTGCACATTATGACTGTTATCTGCCGATTAGTCAAACGAAATCAATGTTCTCTTGCCTAATGTGTAACTAATGCAGACAAACTATCCGATGAGAAAAGCGATGAGAAAATTGATTAGATCTATAAACAAATCCACTATTGCTTGCATAAAACATTGCTAATTCTCCGCGGCTGGGATGGTGATGTGAGACTCACAATAAGAGTAAATTTAATTTACTATTAAATCGGCCTCACCAACACGCGTATTCTGGACCTCAATTTTGATTGGCTGGTCTTTTTTCTGAAAACCCACCCGTTTTTTAATTGACCTTCCTTCGGTGAAATATTTTGTATGTCTTGCCTTACAATTTAGAAAAAAAAATCTTCACGGATTTGTCATCTTTAAAAGTATGTGATTTATTTTTACGATTTCTCAAACTTTCGACTTTTGTTTAAACCAGTGCAACGGAATCTTACCAGACTGGCTTCTAAGAAAAACCTGTCTAATTTCCTGTCAGCTCCAAGATCCTACCTCATCAAATTTTCATGAAAGAAATTACTTTACAATTCCAGCTAAAACATTACTTCCCTTGCAGATTGCCCTTTGAGTGTTGTGCTCCACTTGTATGTTCGGAATACCTCGGTGGTGATAAGGGGCCACTAGGGATCATCTAAAGCGTCTGACAACGCAAAAGAATGTGTCTTTATTAGGCATTTAAAAAGTTCCGAAAATCGGTAAGTATTTTTCTATTATTCTGTCTGTTCTTTGATATTGTAAAAAAATCAATCCTTAAAAACCGAAGAGAAAGTGACGTTTTAATTTTTTTTTTAACTTTATAAAACTATTGACAAGGATATACAATATTTGTGCAAGTGGGTTCTCCTGTTAAAAGCATTGAGTCCGTAGTTTCCGTTTTACCTCCTGGGGTCGGTGTTTGCCGAGCTGTTTAAGGACCCCCTCCTTTTTTTCTCCTATAGATTACTTTAGGATCTGTTGACTTAGCCATTGTCGATACTGTGTCTTCACAAACTCATCCAAACCCTCACATTTAAATGGATGTTACCATTGAGTCAACAGTGTGTGTATAGTACAATTTCAAAGAAATATGACAAAAACAAATTTGACGGAATAGAGGGAATGTCGATCGTAAATCACAAATATTGTACAAGAAATGAGTCTGCAAAATGAAAGGAAAAAAAACACAAAAAGTAGATTTCAAGAAGTAAGCATATTATTCAAGGAATTTGAGCAGGTAGGGAGTTCTACTTTTAAAAAATCTGTTTCTTCATTTGAATTTTTTAATAGTATTTTGAGCAATAATATTGTAGCCCTGCACATTTTGATTGTAATCTCGTAGAAAGAAGATCAAAACGTTAACACGTGCTAATTAAGAAAAAGTACAGAACTCAAGCAGAAGGGAACTATCTCTCATGTATGGAAATATTGAGCCCTTTAATTAAGCTAATTATACAATGAGAACGATTTGCAATTTAGTCATATGAAAAATAGAGGCATGTCTCCACTGAGAACAAAATTTGAGCTGAAATGTTTTAATTTTTCCGCACACTGTTGATCATGTACGTTGTACTAAAAACCAAAAAATAATTCCTAGGTTTATTGAAACGAAGTCTTCTGTAGAAAATTTTGTACGCAATAGATGAATTTTACCTGCTACTTTTTTCGTTAACAAAATCTGAGGAAATGTTCCGAGTAATTGAGAGAAAGCGCATAAGAGGAAAATTCTTTCAGTTTTGCACTGAAAATTATTTACATATATTTTTTTAATCAATGAGTATTGTTTAAAGAAGAATTTAAATAAAAAATTAAAGTTCGATACTGAAAAACAACTTGAATCTCTATTGAATAAAACCAAGACAAGTGTTTAATTCAAAGCTTTAAAGATATATTGATCAGACTCAGTGATCGTTTTCGCATAAAATAAAATCCCTCTGGTCTTGCTTTGGTCTTTCCCTTACTATTTTACGAAAGTCTATCGAAGACACATAAATGTTTCACCTGCTAGGCTCTGATCAGTGTACGGGAACATGGATATGACTGGAAATTAAAAGAACAGTACCGTTTCATGTGAACATTGATCTATAATAGATGAAGCCAACATTTAGTCAATTGTCGGAGTTTTTGCTCCGGCTGTGTACCAAACAACCTCGGGTGGATGCAGATTTACACAAAAGAGGAAATAAAAAAGTATTTCATTGGTCATTATGTCACATATACATAATCCGGGCGATTGCTTTCTCTGACAGCTTCACCGACACGTATCAAATATCGATTCATATGATAAACACTCGGGACTCCCCACGAACATGACATTTTAAACTGAAGACATGGATTCAGATTTTTGTTTAAAAAAAAAGGCTTTTCATGGCATCCTTTTAGAGATAATACAATGGAGTTTTAATACACCTATATTTGAAGTCTTTTGTACAAGGAATGGCGTCTATACAGAGAAAAACCAATACAGTTGGAATGCAATACCAGACTTGTCAATAACGACATCAGTCGAAGTCTACCGGGCAATCATCAGTCAATTAAAGGATCATCTTTTTTGACATTGCTAAAATAACATAGCAAACATTTATACAATTTGTCCACGATACAAATTCGGCATAGCATTATTCCGGAACAGCAAAGAATGTTATCTCGTATCTAAACCGTTAATCTGCACGTGAAACTTCAATCAATTTTAACAAATTAATTCGAATTCAGTAAACCAGTGTCACTTAATTGGATCTGTATTGTTTATCGCTTTGAAAATGATAGTTATGATAGCAAATTTGCAGAATATTGCCATTATTAATTCAATGTCTTCAAAGAGAATAACGCTGAAAACAAAAACTTCATCGTGAAATGAAATTCCACAAAGAGATTTTTTTAAGTTAAAGAGACCCAGATAACTCCATAACAAACCAAATAAAATAAAGTTCACTGCGATTCCTTGAGTCAGTATCTGATGTGATCCTTTACTTGGGTCTTCTTCCCATTCACCTTTAAGAGGTACCGATGGACACACCGACGCCTCAGGTTGCCTTCATGAATGTTTAATTCTGTCTTAGGAATCCAATCTCACCAACTCAAAGTCTGGTGATAAAATATGTAATAACTGTGGCGAGTTCTTCAATAAGAAAGAGCAAAGGCTCACCTTCAAGTTTCATTTCTTTTACCCCATGTAACAGTATCAATTAACGAAAATCCATGTAAAAACTTTTTTGCTATATTGTATACATAATTAACTTCTTAACATCACACGAGTTCTTTTTTTCCCTGATACACGAGAGTTTACGTACAGTCACGAATAAGAAAAAAAAGACAAATTTCTTCTATTTGATGATCAAGAACAAATTTATTCTTTATTTTCTTTTCTTTACATCAGGCAGCATTAAGTCAGATATTTGACTTTGCAATGTTCAGCCGCCGGGGATGTACCAGTTATAAGGAAACAAACTTTTATCATAAATGATATTTTCAAGATTTTTGTGTGAAAGCTCAAATTATTTAGATTTGTAATATTTCTGATTAACCGTCGTTTAAAAACAAACTGGTATTGTAAATTTAAAAACTTTCCTACTTGAGGGACAATGTAGAGAATCAAAGTGTGATTTTTTTTTACTTTCCAGGTGGAAGTCCTGATATGAACTATGCCTGGTGACGTCGGCCTACCATTGTTAAGTTTAGTCCTCCTATACTTGATTCAAGGTAAGTCGATGATATGTTTCTCTCTATTAGCCAGGGGGTAATACACTTGTTTGAAGACCATTTGTTTAATGTTAATCCACTCTTTATTAACAATCAATGACATATTTATGTTTTTGAGCAATAAACCGTGAATTAACTTGCTCATATTACTTTTTATCTCTCTTTTTTTGAAATTTTTACACTCCCCAGTTTAAAAGACAGAAAAGTCCACCTTTCTCCTCCGGTTGAAACTGTTGGCCAATCAAAGTTATCTCTAGAGTTAAACATTTAGTTACATTACAACGATAAAAAGAAAAATGATACATGAAAATAGTTCTGACAAAGACTTGATTATCGGTGCGTGAAGCCTGGAATCCACAAAGGGAAGCGGTATCCGTCGTTACTGAGGAGGGACTTAACCCTCCACAAACGTGATACGCCTGAAGTTGATTTGGTCAGACAAGCAGAAGCCGACTCTTTACGAGGGGCATTCATTTAGCGCCCGTCCGTCCCGAGTAATCACTGTTAGTTAGACTCTAACTCGATTATATGGCCTGGCGTTCTTTCGCCAAGAAGAACACGACCAATCACATTAAAGCAACTATTGTAAAAGTCGTAGATCTAATTTCTTGAATGCCATTTAGCTTAATCGAGTTTTCCTTGTGAGACCATTTCTAAGAAATTCGAACGAGGCTGTCTTTTTTTCTTTGGGATTCCTAAAGTCAATACATAACCAAGAGACGCCATATTGGATCAGTCGGTCGTGATTTTGCGGATTGTTGCTGAATAATATGATCTTTCTTTGGTATATATGATACTTATGATAATACACATTACACATTATCTACTAGACAAACGTTGTTCGATTGTTTTCTTACGATCGGGGATGTTACTTGGTCAAGAACGACAGATGGTCACGCAAGATCTCGGTATAATCACGTGAAAACTGGTCCCACGTGGTTTCATCCTGTCCCTGTTTGCATTATGCTTATTTCTTACTGAATTATAAAAGGTCAATATTGTATACACATAAACACATCATTAATGAATTATAGTATATCACGATTTGCTTAATTGGTTTATCATTGAGATCAAGCGTCTAGGGTTCTTTATTATAGGGCAAATCTGACAAACCGTTTTCAGAAGTTGTATTCCAGCCCCGTTTCATTTCGAAGGAAAAAAGCAGCAGTGGCTATCGCGATCATGACCCCTATTGTTGACTTTTATGAATTTTCAGTAGTAGGGTTCACTCTATCGAAAGCTTACCGTAGCTTAAAATCAATTTATGATCACCAGGGCTCTTGAGGCTAAACTTTCCGGCAAAAAGAGAACTCTGAAATGCTGTCGTTGGATTTACACTTACTGTAGTCAGTAGGAAGAATTCTGGCTGCCAAGTTCAATTGTTATAACCAAACCGAAACATAGAGACAATTGACTGGCGAACAATATACATTACTGATAAATATTGAAATATAATAATAGCAATAGGCACAAGCTAATTCAGAGATTTTGTGTCCCCAGCATTTGGAAAAAAGAAGAGCATGTGTAGATCTAAAGGGGGGAGGTCGGAACCCCTCCCCCTCGATTTGCAGAATTATTAAATGTGTATGATGAAGCAAATAAAAAATGCCAATCTGAATATATAGATTTGATTGCTTATTCTTTAAAATGTGTACAGAAGATTATTTTTATAGAAAATATTTATCACACTGTAATAATGATTTTATGAGAAAGTTTGTACACCGGACGTCATAACTTCTTCATTTCATATGTTGAATGCTATTATTAAGTAAATCGAAAAAAAAAATTGGAACCGGGACCTCTCAAATGCTAAGCGAGAACCCTACATCAACGAGGCGCTTGACAATGAAGTAAATTAAAGTCAAAAAGCAGATCACATATACATATTTATATTCACCTTCGATATTGTAAAAATTTTACATAACACATGGTGTCTAATTTAACTTTACTAAACAGTTCGAATAGATGTAATTGGAATAAAAAATCTGGCGACAACTTGTATAACATATTATATATAGTAACTCTCCACATCTACAACTTTGCGCGTGATCGATGCCAACAAATTTCCAATTGACTTTTGAAAAAAGAAGGGGGCGGGACACTTTCAGAGGGACTTATGGTTAAAAAAAATTCATTGCAAAGGCTCAAAAGCTTCTTGAGATATCGCCCAGAAACGACAGTGTTACACAGACAGAATGTATTAATTTAAGACCTTGACTTTTGACCTCAAAATCAATAGGGATTTTCCTTAGGCCATAGGCAGTTGTGGTATAAAGGATCATTCTCTTTAAGGCCGTTTTGCGGCCTACAATGACTTCAAATTTTCAAATAGTACTTTTTCCCTTAAAAACTGCATGAATCAGTAGGCGAATGTTCCAATTTATTGATAAATGTTGATTGGTTAAAGATACAATAGTATTTGTTATGATATGGGGTCACAAAGTAAGGTACTATCGGTCCGTATTAGCATTAGGGTAATGGGAAAACTCAAGAGGGTGGGTGTGTTAGGTAACTCCTACACATGTCATAACCACCTTTAACCAACACCAAAATTTGTTTGTAAACTTCTAATAAACATAAAAAGTGACTACCAAATTATGAACTTGGTTAAAGGTGGTTATGACATGTAAATTAAAACTTTTCGCTTCATTTTTACGATATTTGCAGGAAAAGCTAACTACTCATAATAAAGGATATTAGCTTATGTAGATTATTTCTTATTGGACTTTTGCGAGAAGCGCTGACTTTTACAATCGACAACTTACTTTTACACTAGGAAAATGTACGGAACCTCTTTTGCGATATAAATGTTTACCTTAGCATTTACTAAATTGATAATAATCGGCCATTTCAAAGCCCATATTACGTTGTCTAGGAAGGGAGAAGCAACTGACATACAAACAACCTCCTCCCTTTCCAACTTAACCAAATCCTGCCAAATTTTCCTTCCGGAATGTTTTTCCTTCAATATTTAGTTCCTGAAGAAAATGAAAATAAAAAGGGATTCTATCTCTCATGAATAAGACATTTTAAGTAATTTTATTCTACCTCCAATAATGTCTGGTGTTGGTAAATGATGTACGTGCCCATAATACCATAACTTTAACCATTATTTATGTTTTCTTATTTATCATCAATTCAGTATCAAAGGACTGAAATGACTGGATGTAATGAAATTACACGTGAAGACAAGTCTCATTGAATTATCTGCTAGAAATTAAAAACGAAAACAAACAAAAAAACTTTTTATAGACTATAAGGCGTGAATGTAAGTTATTTATTATAATAATTAGTATTATTTATAATGATACTTTAGTTTATCTATGCTACTTTTCCTTAGGGGTACTGCATATCTGTTAGTTCTAGAAATGATAAAAGCTATCTTTGTTGTAGCGAGAAGATTCATTTGCTATTTGTGTTATAAACTTATTTTTCTATGGGTACACATGTAACTTATATAGATAGGGAATTTCCAATGGGATGGTTTCATAATGGGAATTTTCGCCTCGACCTTTTACAAGGACACTTTTCCGTATGAGTGACATGGGATCCATGTATTTTGTTAACTGGGTGATGAGAGGACTCAGTCTTTTTACCACACATCTTTGGTAGCATCAATATAAGTTACGAGAACAGCTGTTCTGTCTTAGAAAATAAAATGCCAAGGAGGAGAGGGGTTCCTAAATGTCACATGTGATTGAAAACTGAATGTTGCTTTACGCCATTTTAGAATTATTCACTCAGATAAAGAGATCATCCATTTAAGGTGAAGTATCAAAGTTTGATTTATGCATGGTTTCATTATTGACCAACGCTTACCTTGGGACGGGACCTCCTTTTTAAAGATGATTTACTTTTAATGCTGAGGATTTTACAAAGGAACTGTCACTACCCGTGTTAAACACCTTAGTTTTTGACGCGGCACTGGGAAAAGGAAATTTAACCCTTAGGTTTCAAGGGTGCGAAAGGAGCGTCAAACCCTTAGGGCCCATTTTGTACCTGGGACGTGTAGAACTTTGTTAGTCCAAGGATATATACTAAAACTTCTGATATGCGTAGTGGAATTAGGAACTGTTGAAAATCTACTCCATTTTATAGAGTGCCGTAGAAAATGGGGGGGGGGGGGGCTCGACTTTTATACATACATTTATGTATTATAGTTTAGATAGCTTTTTTAATTAAATATATTGTTTTACATGTGTAATTAAATGAAATCAAAGTAATTCTTACGATGTTATTTCATTTTACGTCGATATATATATTTTTAATACAACCGTTCTGAGTTTTATGTACTGACTATTTAAATGAATAGTCAACATGTAATTGCATAAATATTTTCATCCTGTAAATTAATGATTTTTTATTTTTTGCAAATGTAGAAATTATTTTATTGATTACAACTTAATTTTTATTTAATCACAAACAAAATCCATTCAATGCTTTCAACATTTGATACACTACTTTTATAGTTCATCAGAAGCTTAGAAACCTCATTTCTTACATGGGCATTTTATGCGTAAAATAGGTGCCACATCTATAGAAACAATACACAATTACAATATAAACAAACATGAAATAATACTTTTAATTAAATCCTAATTAAACATTTTTCAACATCATACGAGGTGCATTTTGTAAAGATTTACATTCAAAATATGCAAAATGTGAATGCATCAAAACTCTTGTTATAAAAATATATTTAAAGCCTAAAATTAAACAATCTTCGCATTTATTACTTAAGTCCAATATGTTTCCGACATAAACAATTTTTGATCATTTAAATTCAGAAACATGCATAGAAGCTTGATGTAAATAGACCTAAGCTCAATTTTTCTTTAATTGACAGCCATTTGTAATCTCTAAATCACGTGACTTAGGTGATCGATGTTGAAAAACAAACATCAAAATCATGAAATAGAATGATTAAAGTTACATAAAATCACATTCTTAAGTGATTTTATCGTAGGCCGGAAAATGGCGTTCTAGAGATTCATCCTTTCATAGCAAAAACTTGCAATAAAGGCTTCTCGAGATATCACGCGGAAACGAAAGTGTTAAAACAGACAGAATTTATGACCTTTGACCTCAAAATAAATAGGGGTCTTTTCTAGGCTATAGGGAGTTGCTATGTAAAATTTCATTGCAAACACTGGTTTCTTGAGATATCGTGCGGAAACAAAAGTTTTACAGACAGACGGATGGACGGAAAAACAGACTGAACTTAATATCCCCGACTTTCAGTGAAAGCGGGGGACAAAAATAGTCAAGAGTGGAAGAAGGCTGAAAAAGTGACAATATTTAATAAAGCTTGGTACCTTTAAAGCTAAATCAGTTAAGTTATTAATAAATTATAATCTCTGAAGATATTTTGAGTAATTATTCCCAGAAGTTTTCGTTTAAAGTTTAAATAGATGCATCTTAGTTTTCAAGCAGAAATTTATGTAAATTTTCACAATTATAATCTGGAGACCGTTATGGCCGTGTGACATGTACATGTATATTTACATTGAAGAGTATGTACATGTATATAGCATGATAGGAAACATAATTTACTTCATTCTCAAGTAGTTCCTTCTGATTAAAAATCTTAGTTGTAACAAAGAAATCAAAGCCATTAAATATTGCCTTAGTGAAAAATTTTGTAGTATAGTTTGAATAAATAGACGGTACATTTGCAGATCAAAAGAGTGTTTGACACTAGCAGAGTGAACATATATTTACATCCACTGAGTATTATTTCCTTTATTTATTTCTTATAAAACCATTGCCGTTAATCAGTCCATAAACAACACTAAGCAAGTCACCTGCATAGATTTCTTAAGCAATGGCTGTTCCATCAATTATGCATACAATGCCATACACATCTATAATACAACAATTAACATATTCAATTTACTTTGAATGTCTTTCTTTAAAAAGATATAAATATAAACAATAAAATGTCTTTCTTTGTTTGTTAGTACGGGAATTAACGTCGCAGCTATTGCAGAAAAAATTCACATAACCCTTTTACGCTGGTTATGTATTTTTTTCTGCAACAGCTGCGGTATTAATTCCTGTACTAACAACCAAAGAAAGCATTTTATTGTCTACGTTAAACCAAAGTTCAATTAGAAAACCTAGAGAACTGATATATTTCATTTAAAGGAGTATTATGCTTTTTTCCCTTCAGAATGTGGGTCTGAATGTACATTTCCTAAGTTCCTCATAAGTGCTATGGACGAGGAGACCGGACTTTTGAAACCCTGGAAAACCAAAACGCACTGGTTCCAAATCAGTACCAACCCCCAAATACAACAACTCAGTGAAATTTACGTCACGGGCTCTGACATGTGGCAGATCCGACAAGAATTCTATAGGACATGTGAATCAAAGTCCAGGCGACTCTCCAATAAAATTACGTCGTCAGAAAGATGTGGCGAGAAAACGTTGTCCTACAACCGGACGTGTCTTACCGTGGACTCGGCAAACGAAACCGCCGGTCTCTACACGTACCGACTGCTGGAACAGCACGTCACAGGGTAGAACAACACCTTAATATTGAATTATTTACAAATACGAAGCAAAATAAAACTGTAATTTGGTACCTTGACAGTCTGAAAAAGGCAGAAATGTTGAATTTGATGATGATCGGATAAAAAAGTCGGTCATATTTATTAAATTATGAATATTTGGTGATTATACGATGTTGCTGATATCGGAAAAAAGGATTTTTTTAATATGAAAAAAATATAACATGTAATATCGAGGTATCTTATGGTCAGAAAAAAAAAAATGAATTTTTCCCTTTTTAATGTTAATGAAATACGTGTACGTGGTCAAGAGGAAACTGTCATTAGTTTCTCCTATAGTTTTTTCAAGATTTATCTTCCAATTTCAACTTCACACTCCGATTTTAAAGCAATATTTAAAACAACTGTAGCGATATTTTTTAAATTACTATTTTCTCCACCATTTTGCTTGTCTAATCTATTTTCATTGGAAGAGGTTTTGCACATAAAAGAAATCATACGTAGTTTTAAACTTATTCTCTTGATAAAAAAATGTTAAAATATGATTTCTGCGGCATAAATTCTGCGGCCTACAATTTACCCCCATCAAAATCTCCAGCTAGTTGCTGCAATAAGTTCTAATTAGTGAATGAATTGCCAGCACCCTCTAATTTACGATGAATTACTGGGAAGATATTTTTGCAATTAGATACTTCCATCTCCTTCCTTTTCACATTCTGTAAGCACAGGAAATTAAATACTGAAGCTAACTAATCAATTTCATTGCAGTCATCCTGACAGAAATATAAAAGAAATAATTCAGAATATGACAGTAAAGTCCAACTCAATTAAACAAATCCAACCAGGACTCAATTTACCACAAAATATATACCACACACACAAGTATGTGTACCTGCTTACCCTTTTAAATCAGAGATCAGTACCTGGTCGGCAAGAATGGAGATTTGAAATAGTTTGACTTTGAGAAATTACTCACCCTTTGTTAGATAAAAAAAACATCCTGGCTGACAATGACTTTTTAAAAAATATTATTATGCATTAGCAATATTTTTTCAATTTAACTCATTACTTATAAGAAATTCTTGAAGGAAACTCTGATTAAGAGGCGACCAACTTCGTGTATACAACAAAGATGAATAATCTCAACTTTTTTGACATTTTATTTTAGAGAAGATGTATCACAGGGATAAATAAAGGTTAACTTTCTGAAAGGCTCATGTTGAGTCAAAGAACTACGCACGCTAACTCTCGATTCCCGCCTACATTTTAAACCCATTTAATTTAATACCAATGACAATTTGACAGTAAAATCTTTGTTAAATGCAAAGAACAGTTAATTGGTAATTGACTGATAATTTTACTGCCAGTGTTAAATAGTTAATTACACATAATTCCAGCTCTTTAAATGAGGGGGGTAGACGATATTTTCCATTGAAATCGGGCTTTAAAGCATCAACACATTATAAAATATTCTTCGATATGAATAAATGTTCCTAAAATCTTTTCTTATGTTTTACGCATATAAAATAAAACATATATTATTTAAAAAATACAATATTTCAGTCGTAAAACCCTTTGAAATTGGTGAAAAAAATAAGCATTTTTGAATTTTTTTGTCTGTAAACATACCCCCCCCCCCCCCCCCCCGTGAAACACAAAAAGCTTTGGTATGAATTTGTAAAATGACAGTCCATATTACGTGTAAAAAGGAATTTTTGTTTCACGGGGGGGGGGGATGTTTTAAATATATTTTCCGTTGATTTCTATTGTGAAAAGCACAAGTTTTACCCAAATTATAGAGTTACCTCTCTTTGTTTTCCCACAGAAGTAATGTTTTATGAAAATTCATATAAATATGTATATAAATATGAAAAATCATCAAAATATGTTAACTTTTGAAAATCGACTTGGAGGTAGGCGGGAACTTAATGCTGTCATTCTTCATTGAACAATAATTATATTATGCAAATAAAAAAGAATATGCATTAAACATAAGTAATGAATAATAATCTTCGTGTTTAGGCTAGTATATATAATAAAAACAGCAATTGATAAATAATATTTTGTTTTGAATGCTAAGGTAGAAAGTACATGTGTATTTGACCTTGGAGACAAGGTAAAACTCACATGATAAGAAATGCTTCTTCCTCTACTACAGTCTGTGTGTTTGATGTGTTTACTTGCTGTTTCTTGATATAAAATAAAAGAAAATTTTGCCCAGTGGAAATATTGTTATTTTATAGTTGTGCTTACTATTAGTGCAATACCCTTTACATGATTAAATAAACGCTAGCCACAGGTTGAAGAGTCTCTAAAAGTATTGCACGTGTTATCTTGAATTTCCCTGCTTTAATTAAAACCCACACTCATTACCAATATACAAAAATTAATATAAAGAGAACACCCACTCATATGTAAGCTTTAAATTTTGCTGAATAACACTGTGTTTTACTAGTTTGATAGTAGATAACAAAAATAACTTATTTGGAGTTTATGTTCTTTTTATTTGCATGGTAGTGTTCGTTGAAGAATCTATGCAATGGTCTCAAATTTCAATCAAATATGAACCTTCAAATAATTAAGACGGAATATAACTTCATTATTCTGTCCAAAAATTACATTCAAATAATCCGAAGCCCTTTTCATAACTGATAGACGGAGATGTACGTAACATGTAAATATTAAAATGTAACATGAACGTTATTGAACGTGAACACTGTGAGTGTGAGTGACTGGTGACTTACCAAAAAGAACACTTGACGAGTAATTCAATTAACTGACTTATTCTGACTTAAAACAGTTGAGTAATTAATTATTATTTATGAATGTAAAGTTTTTACAGAAAATCCCATCACTTCAGCCTTTCAGTAGCCCACATTCTGTAACAGAGATCACCAACATCAGATCGGTTCAGCCACATGTCGCCAAATTTCAGGTCTTTTTTCTGATATGGCCTTTTGTTACAGGAGATGTATTCTGAAATCTTCTTTTCATTTTAGAACAAAATATGTCTGCATGTCATTCCAGCGACGAAGTGAGGGCGTTGTTACAGTAAGGAAAGGTAAGTGTTACTGGTGGAGATCGTATAAGTTACCTATCATGTTGTAAATTTTGAATTTATTGGATAGAGGTAAAATGAATTTACACAATATTTTTACATGTTTCGTGTAAATTTTGTATTCACCCACCCAGTAAATTTGAAATAAAACGGCATGTTATCGGTATGGCTACATTGCCGAAAGGTATTCTTTTCTGAAGGACCGTGTTACATTGTGAGAAGACCTGTACAATAACACTCAAAACATTATACGTGTGGGGTTTTTTTTCTGAGATAAAATCATTACACAAAGAAGATCGAAAGGAATGCCTAAATTTAAGAAGTCTTACTGTATGTTTATGACATGGGATAGATAAATGCCTCATACATTTTTTAATCAACTTTTATGAATTTTCCCCCTCCTTCGAAACACACATTTTTTTTGTGTGTGAAGTGCAACTATAGAATATTAAAATTCTTTCAAAATGATGTCACGAAAAAGATCCTAACTGCTCAATGGCCACAAGTTCCGAGTACAGGTCTAAATTTGCAGCCTTCCACTGGCAAATGGTGGCGTCCCAACATAAGTAAAAAAAATTCTTTAAGCAAACAATCAATCAACCACACGTGTACACACAACTATTACTAATAAAAGCATTGAATCCCACACAGAGAAAAAAAGAAAACTGTAAACCACTTCCTCATTATGTCTCGTATGTAATCTACCTTCCATGTATTTTGCGAGGATGTTTGACATTTATTCTGCTCTATCTTTTTCTGGAGTGTAATATCCTTTTCCTCAATGATGAGTAGCACTCTTTGAACTAAGGTTGCCTTCTTTCACGACTTCGAAAAATACACAGTTACATGTTAAGAATGTTCATTGATTTTCATCTTTTCCCGAGACAGTGCTGTACATCATGTATATTTTCTTAAGTTACGATTATTTGAAACTAATAAAATTAAAAGTGGTATCTGAACCAGTTTTAGCTCACCTGAGCCGAAGTTTCAAGTGAGCTTTTCTGATCAAAATCTGTCAGCTGTCTTTCGGCGTCGTTGTCCTTGTAAACTTTTCAATCTCCAGAATCACTGGGGCGATTTCAACCACACTTGGCACAGTGCATCCTTGGGTGTTCAAGTTTTTTTTAAATGAAAGCCACAATTAAGAATAAGTGAATATTTAATGGCATTTTTCAAAAATCCCCTCAAGAAACACTTAATTAGTCAGAAAAGATGAAACTTAAAATGTAAAAGCTTTATTACATAGTGTAGTTTAAGAAAAATCTGAAAATCTTCTTCTCAAGACCAACGAAGCAATGATTAATCCTATTTTATAGAAGCGCCCGATTCAACGTTTTGTTCAAATCATGTTTTGGGTGATAACAACATGGGTGATAACAATTTTTCATAGAAATGTATAAGAATTTTTTTTTGAAAATCTTGTTCTTAAGAACAGTCAGAATTACTAGTAGACATATTTAATTTTGAAACACCCCAGTTAGTGCAGATTCAAATCTGTTCAAATTACAACCCCGAGGGTAGGGTGGGGCCACATGGAACAATCAAACTTTAACATTTTTATATTGTTTGAATTATAAATATGTGAGGATTGAGATTACAGCTACTGACCTGAATGGTTTTGGACACATGTTGATGAGCTATATGTCATATCGACAGTAAATGCAACAAGAGGCCCATGGGCCACATCGCTCACCTGAGCACATTGGCTAGGAAAAAAGCAAAAATCAGTTCAGTATTGAAAAGTTAACGGGGGAGAGAGGGGGGATGGGGGATTTTAAACTACCTGACAATGCTTTCATATCAATATAACAAATAACTTTGCTGTTCTTGAGCAGAGGATTTTTTCCCATATATTCATTTGTAAAAATTTGATACCCCATTGTGGCCCCACCCTACTCCCGGGGGCGCTCATTTGAACAAATTTCATTTTATACTACCCAACGATGCTTCCATATCAATTTGACTAATCATGGCTTTTCTGTTCTTGAGAGAAAGATTTTTTCCTATATATTCCTCTGTAAACTTTGATCACCCATTGTGGCCCCACCCTACCTCCGGGGGTCATGATTTGAACAAACTTGAATCTACACTACCTGAGGATGCTTCCATATAAATATGACCAATCATGTCTTTGCTTATCTTGAGAAGAAGATTTTTAAAGTTTCTTTTTCTATATTCTCTTATGAAAAACTTTGACCCCCCCCCATTGTGGCCCCACCCTACCCCCAGGGGTCATGATTTGAACAAACTTGAATCTACACTACCTGAGGATGCTTCCATATAAATATGACCAATCATGGCTTTGCTGTTCTTAAGAAGAAGATTTTTAAAGATAGTTTCCTATATATTTCTATGTAAAACTTTGATCCCCCATTGTGGCCTCACCCTACCCCCGGGGATCATGATTTTAACAAACTTGGATCTACACTACCTGAGGATGCTTCCAATAAATATGAACAATCATGGCTTTGTTGTTCTTAAGAAGAAGATTTTTAAAGATATTTTCCTATATATTTCTATGTAAAACTTTGATCCCCCATTGTGGCCCCACCCTACCCCCAGGGGTTATGATTTGAACAAACTTGAATCTACACTACCTGAGGATGCTTCCAATAAATATGAACAATCATGTCTTTGCTTATCTTGAGAAGAAGATTTTTAAAGTTTTTTTTTCTATATTCTCTTATGAAAAACTTTGACCCCCCCATTGTGGCCCCACCCTACCCCCAGGGGTCATGATTTGAACAAACTTGAATCTACACTACCTGAGGATGCTTCCATGTAAATATGACCAATCATGGCTTTGGTGTTCTTAAGAAGAAGATTTTTAAAGATATTTTCCTATATATTTCTATGTAAAACTTTGATCCCCCATTGTGGCCCCACCCTACCCCCGGGGGTCATGATTTGAACAAACTTGAATCTACACTACCTGAGGATGTTTCCACATAAGTTTCAACTTTCCTGGCCCAGTGGTTCTTGAGAAGAAGATTTTTAAATGATGCCATTATTTTTTCACTAATTCCTAATTATCTCCCCTTGAAAGAGGGCGTAGCCCTTCATTTGAACAAACTTGAATCCCCTTCACCCAAGGATACTTTGTGGCAAGTTTGGTTGAATTTGGCCCAGTGGTTCTTGAGAAGAAGATGAAAATGTGAAAAGTTTACAACAACAACGACAACGACGACAGACAACGGACAAATTTTGATCAGAAAAGCTCACTTGAGCCTTTGGCTCAGGTGAGCTAAAATTACAATTTGCCAGGCTGCTAGTGTGATAATTACATACAACCAGTAAATTCAAAATTTACAAAATGGCATTTGAAAAATATTTATTTGAGTGCTGTTCCTCCTGTGAATAGAAATGCAGTTTTGTTTCTCTTGTGGGACGCCAACAATAGTCGGTGGAAGGCTGCAAATTTAGACCTGTACCCAGAACTTATGACCAATGAGCAGGGAGGTTTTTTTTCTGCCAGCATCTACTGCAATATGTGATAGTCTCATCCGAAGGACCGGTCTCCAGCTCTGACGTCATTTTGAAAGTAGTCAGATTTTCTCAGCTTACATAAGATTTTGTACTCAGTTTGAATGAGATGATGTATGGCAAGTTGCAAAACAAGTTTGAGGTTTCATTCCCCCAACTGTCAACGGTACATAAAATCTTAGGGGAAAATATAAATAGTAATACATTTGTATTTTTTCTTTGGTTTGCTATGTATGTTAAAATGAACATGAATACCAAATGAAATTGAACGAACAAGACACACATGTCGACTATCTAAGTCTCGTTCTCTTTGATACATTTTGTACAAATATACGGTCCTTGGATATCGATTAATTCATAAAATTCTATAAACTTTGTTCCTTTTTTATCAAGACGGACGAGTAGCATTTGTGCTGTACCGACACATTAAGATTTTCAGACAAATTTAGCACTTTTAATGCTTGCCTCTCTGATTAGTCCTGATAACATTAAAAAATATGATTTTAACAGTATATAAAATGGAATATCAAAGGTAAAATAAATTTGGGCAATTTTAGAATCTAGCGCAACTATACTTTCAATTTCAGTTCATAAACACGAAATTCTTCGCCTTCGCGTACTAAAGAGATACATATGAAAATAGAACGGTTAATTCCAAATACATTGTACAAAAAAGTCAAAGAAAAACTTTCAGAAAAAAATAAAAACAAAATAATGTTTAGATATTTAGTAAAAAAAAATACAATGAATCGATGTGAATTTGCAAAATACAATAAAATATTTTCTACCAGTAAGTGCACGAGAAAGTTATTAAAAATGATTTTAAACACATAAGTTATAGATGCTCGTAAGTTTAAATTTCAGATTTAAACTCTTCATGTAACAATTTGTGATTGAAGCAAGCACGGGGGCTTGCTCTTAATCTGAAAAAAAAAACTCATTAAAAAGTCATTAATTAACAACTAAAACTTTATATGATTTTTTAATAACTATCATTTAAACTACGGGAGCAAGCCCCTGTGATTGAAGATCATTATATTGTTAACACGTTTAATTTTTTTTTATTTGACACGTACCCCAAGAAATGATGTACTTCACGATGCGTGCTGTTAATAATGTTAAATTATTTAAGACCTTGAATGGCAAAAATGTCAAACGACGTCGAAAAGATGAAATCTGATTTCTACTACAGAAAACCTGTTTAAAAATCTGTTCATTATCGAATTTAGTTTTTGTATAAACTCGCACAATGTTTTAAATCTCATATGTTGCTAGTGTTGAACGAGGTCTCAAAACTGTACTTGAACAAACTTAAGTTTTTTTAATGTATTTTGATAAAGCAAGAAAAAGATAAATAAATACATGTAAATTAATAAATAAGTTAAAATAAAAAACAACATTAAAAAAATATAAATATGGAAAAAATCTCTATCTATAGACAGTCTATTGACATAAAACCTATTCCCAACAACCAGTTTCAGAAGATCAAAAAGAAATAAAGAAATTGACAAGCGTGCCTGAAAAAATTAAAATAAAATCATAAGCATATTTAACCTTAAAAACATAATTGATATTTCAATATCATTTGGTAAATTTTCAATAAATAGTCACTCAGGTCTTCGACCCTTGTCATGCGTTGTGCATTGTCCAACTTCTTGTCGACATGGCAAATTGTCTTTATTTGCTAGGAAACATGTAAGAGGTGAGATAAAACATACATTGTGATTTTTGTAAATTTTCCAAAAATCTTTATACTTTGAGATTAGATTTAGCCAAAATGATCATAGTGAAAAATTATATGACTTTAGAAAATCTTCTTTACTCCTGCAAATCTGAAAGGAAAACTGAATACATGGTTTGTAAGAGCATGAAAACAATAAAACAATAGGCCTTGGCGGTCAACCGGGTATCATGAGTTTATCTGGCTGTGAGCAGTTTGGTTCTACCTGGAACTGGTCTGCATTTATGTGAGAAAAATTTACAGTTTTGTGAGGACTTTATAAAGACTCCATAACTTTATCATATTCATGCAGATTGTCTACTAGGAGTTAAGAAGGTAGAGGACACCGTATGATGAATATCAATATTTGACCAACTTACTCCTACCCTGGTCATGATCTCTGGTCCCAGGAAGCATTATCTTTAATTATTTTTGGAGAGGACTCGCTGCTCATTATAATAAACAATTTGCCTGCTCCATGTCCATGAGTAAATAAGAAAATTTTCAAAGGAAAGGTGTAATTATTTCAGTGTATGATCAGTGGTCATTCATTGAAAATACACTTTTATTTCTGAAAACCATCTTCTCTACTCATGGACATAAAACATGCAAATTATTTCTACAAATATGATATGCACTAACCAAAATTATAAAATTGCCCTGTCCCTGTCCAAAGTTCAGACCAAAAGGTGGGGCTTAGTTGGCCAAATATTGAAAATACATTACACCTTCTCTACTAATGGACTCTATGCAATATAGTAATATTCTGAAAATCATATTTCCGGGCAAATAATTCGGGCTCCAGGGCGGGGATAAGTTGGGCATACGTTGAAAACACATTAAAACTTTGACAATGTTCTCCTTACTCATGGAAATCTTGCAGACAGACTGTTTTTGCATAATAGCAATAATTAGTCAACCCTTTTCCCTAATTGTTAAATTCTTGGCTCTCCGGGGTCCAGAACTTTAGCTCCAAGTTTCGGATAGTTAGACATCCATTAAAAATACATCTTTGAAATATTTTTCTATACTCATCGACATTTAGCAGGCATGCAGATATTTCCATGATTATTATAAGCACAACCTCCTACTAAAATTGTGCAATTTATGGCCCCGGGCTCATGATTGAAGTTTCCTTAGTTGGTCAATACCGTGAAGTAGTATTTTTAGGGATATTCAATTTTAGCGACCTCAATACACTTGCTAATAATGCTAAAATTGAATCCTTGATAAAACTTCTGATACGGTATTGAAAATACATTATACGTATTTGAAAATCTTCTTACTCACAAACATCTAATCGACAAGTTGTTTGTATGATAATACAAGTAATTAACTCTCGGTCTTCTACTAGTATACAAAGCACTTAACCATGGTTCATGCCCCAAGGCGGGGCTAGGTAATCAAACTTATACCCATAGCTCTCTTTCTAAGGCGGAAATTCTTCAAAATCATA